GCTGTGGTGAGTCTTTGGTACAAAACCATGTACTAGAACCACTGCTGCAGACCAAGGTGAGGGCAGCATGACTGAGAAGGGCATGGGCAAGTTGGAACACTGCACCAGGAGGTGGCAGTGACGTAAGCCAATACACAGTCATCCAGATTCACAGTTACACACTCAAGAGCTGGTGACTATTACTGCACATGAATTGCATCTCAATACAAATGGGCCCAAAAAAGGCGAGTATCACTCATGACACAGGGATTTCCTTCTTAGATACATACCCCAAAATGCATGCCCAAGTGCGTCGGGGCACACAAGTGAGGATCACAACTTACTCATAATATCTCGGACTAGACATGCCGTTTCACCAATGGGCTTACAGCCAGTGAGCTACAGCTGCATACACTGACACAGGGAGACATCACAGACATGAAGCCGGCAAGGGTGTCAGGTGGGGTGTCATGCCATGCCAGTATTTGTAAACATTCAAAAGATAGGCAAACCTGGACACATGGTTAACCATGGGTGCCTTGCTGACAGACACAAATAAGTGCAAGGTGCTTACATGACTCATACCTGAATTTCACTACTAAGCGTAGCCTGAGAGTTGGCAGGAAGGAGCTGTGCATTCAGGCCCCACAGGCTTCTGCTCCCTGAGTGCAGGTGACAGGTGCTCATTCATAATTCATTGTGTTGACTTCTCGCTGCAGATTTGTTATATTCCACAGGACCAAGGCTTCTAGAATCTCGACTTGGAGCATCGCTGTCTCTGAGCACCGGCCGCTATGGTAGCACAAGAGCCCTTGGACAGCCTGCCAGCTGTGGGAGTTTCCCAGAGATGCCTACTGCCCTGCTGTGAGTGGCAGCTCAACAGCAGCCATTCCTGGTGGGCATGGTAGTGAATGAGTTCAGCTATTGCACTAGTGCTGCGTTGACTGCTCATCTCCAGAACTCATGTGCTGGATACCTAATCCCACCCCCTGCAGTTTGCTGTGTGCCAACAGCGTCTAGGAGGTGATGGAGTTGCATGGGCTCTGTTGCACTGACCATCCCTGGCTAGTGGGTTGCCCTGAGAGTGGCTCTGTTATAAAACAGAGCCCTCTAGCCTACTTGCTCTGTGTCCTTGTGATGCCCTCCACATGCCACAACCCAGGAGGAAGAACCTCACAACTGGCCCCTGTGCTTGCCCTTCCTAGCTCCAGAACTTTGAGCTATGTGAACTTCTATTCTGCAGCATTCAATTATAGCAAAAGAAAATCTTCTGAGACAGCCAGTTTAAAAAAAAAAAAAAAAAAAAGGATGCAGTCAGACATGATGGAGCAGGCCTGTAATCCCAATGGCTTGGGGGGCCAAGGCAGGAGGATTGTGAGTTCAAAGCCAGCCTTAGCAACAGTGAGGTGCTAAGCAACTCAGTGAGACCCTGACTCTAAATAAAATACAAATTAGAGGTGGGATATGGCTCAGTAGTTGAGTGCCCCTGAGATCAATCCCTGGTACTAAAAAAAAAAGATGCAAATACTAAAAGTTAAGTGATAGATTAGAAAAAATAATCAATTGAAATCAATATTATGGAAGACTGAATTTTAAGTGCTAATAAATGTGAATATTAAAACAAGATTTAAAGGTGATCACAAAATGTTCTTTACTTATCACATCTTTATTAGTGTTGTACTCACACATGGAAACATGATTGTTTTAAGAATGTTGCCTGAGTTTCTAGACCTTATCTTTAAGTGGGGCAGGGATGTCTTCCCTGGAGAAGGTGGCTGCCAGGACTGCAGAAGGCTCTGTGTGAACTTGCTGGGCAGGGCTGGCTCTGTGACTGTAACAACTCCTCCTTCCCCAGCAGTCTGGAGGGAAGTTATCTCCCACTACTGCTGTGCTTCTCCCCAGAACCAGCATCTCCTTGACCCCCGATCTCCAAATCACTCTGCTGGCTGCAGCTGCTGTGGGGTCCTCTCTGCTGGGGAAAGATGTGACAGTGCACAGGGTGATGAGAAGGAGAGGAGCTTTGCTGGGGAAGGCTGCCAGAAAGCTCTAAGATTGTGTACAGGTTGGCTCCAATTTCTACCCCTGGTTTTAGGTGTCAGAAACGAGGATGAGTGTGGAGGGGTGTTTGAGGGGTCTCTGTGACTGTGACAGAAACCCTGAAAGAAAGCTCTGCACATCTGGGACCAGGACTGTCCTCCCGTCTTTGCCTACATAGTGTCCCCCACTGGGGAAGATGGTGACCTCTGTCACAAGCCCGGAAGGGACTGTGCATGTGGGGAACCTGTGGCTGCAGTACCTGTGACACTGGAAGGAGGAAAGGACCTTTCCAGCCCACCCAGGCTCCAGGCAGGGCTCCTCCACACACAAACAGGGTGTCCCTGGCCTCAGGATAAAACTGAACTCCTGACTCAGCCTAAAGACGCATCTCAATGGAACACCTGCTGCCGGTGGTCTCAGGCTGCAGCTTTTCCATGAGTGCCGCTCTCCAAGGGGCCTTTGCTTCTGCTGCCCAAGCTCCTCCTCCAAGCCCCTCCCCACCCCAATACAGAGGTGCCCTGCACCGCTATGAGCTATGTGCTGTCAGGGGCAGACCCACCTGCAAACTTATTGACCCGTGCAGACCAGGTGAAACTAAATCCTGATGTGTGTTTGGACCCTGTCTCTGCTGAAACCCAATCTGAAGAGAAAGACATATTTGGACCACAGGGAAATGCTGCAATATGGGGGCCACCTACCAGGGACTTGGAAGGGCAGAAAGGCAATTGGGGGAGCAGGGAAAAGGCCAACAGAGCCACTGACTCCACCAGTGAGTTTAAGAAACCGGGAGGTGGTCCACGGGCTGGAAGTACCTAGTGAGGGGAGAAACTCCACCGGAGGTACTGCCCTCTGCGGGGTCTGACGACAGGAGCTCGCCCCGCACAACCGCAGCCTGGGCTCTAGCTCCTGAAGAACGCAGCCCACCCCTTCAGGGAGGGAGGCACCGGCCAGCAGTTTCTTCTTTCTTTGGCCGGTAGGCTGCGCCATCCCCACGTCCGGAGCAGAGAAGTGGCTCCACCCACCGGCGGTGGTGGCAAACGTCGTTTCCCTGGAAACCGCAGTAACCGCTGGGAGTCGGCTCGGAAGCTTCGTTCACGCGCGTGGGCGCCACGACCCTCATACAAGCTGGCTCACATGCGGCCCTCCCCAAACTCACACCCCGCTTGCGCAGGCCGAATCGCCATGCCTGTTTTCTGGCTAGTCACCCTGCAGAGGCGCGGGACCCACTGGCTGCTATTCCAAAATGTGCATTTCCTGCAACAGAAAACAGCTCATTCTCCTCGCAGCTAGGGATCTGAAGTGAACCCCATGCAGATGTCCAGGGAGCCCAGGAAGGCCTTCACATGTTTTCCCATTGGGCGGGTGGTTTCGGCGAGGCGTGGGCAAGGGCCCTTTGCATGGCCTCAGACCACGTGGGTGCGGCTTCTCAATGCGCAGGCCTCCCGCTCACCGGGAGCCCTGGACCCTTTAGGACCAGGAAGCACGCACTGGACTATGCCTCTGGCAGCCGGAACCTGCGGAGCCGGTGTCTGGCGCGCAGGCGCGTCCTTGAGCACTCCCAACAGCACCCCGGGTCCTCCCCAGCCCGGCCACGGGTTCTGCCACCGCATCCAGTGGGGTCTCAGACGCTGCGCAGGCGGCCTGAGTCACCAGCACCAGGGACAGCGAAGCAGCTCAACTGGAGCTCCAGAGGGTTTGGGTCCTAGAAAACTCGGGACCCGCCCACGGCGCCCTCCAGTTTTTCCGCACCTGAGAGGCGATTTGCCGCCCCACCCACTTCACGCAGGTCCAATCAATTCACCTGAGCCCGCGACTGCGGAAATTTCGTGCCTGATCCGCAGACTGGACCCAAACCCAAACAGATTCACCCGTCGTTTTCCCCATGACTTTACACCAGCTCCGCTCTGTGGCTGGTCCTACAGCCTACCCACATCGCACACAGGGCAAACAGCAAACAACATGCACAACACACCCGCATTGCACATATAACACAGCACACTGCAAACCGCACACACAACATAGTACTGCACACTGCACACACTACACCCCTCACAACACACCTCACACAACACACACGCAACCCGCAATACACCACAACGCACAGCCTCACAACCGTAACACCCCCTCACACGTACTGAATACATGACACACAACACGGCACACGCACTGCGCACTGCGCACTGCACACACGACACGACACACCACATAGACAACATCCCCAAATGCACACACCCCATACATACCCCTCACACACAAAGCACACCGCACACACTCCCCTTCATCCGCACATGCCAGCACTTCCCAGAGATCCAGACTCCGTCCTGCAATCCCCGAGCAGCCCCTCAGCACCTGGGCTCCCCTCACACCGTTTCCCAGCGCCCTCAGCTAACTTCTTCTGGCCGAGGGTGGGCGTGGAGAGCGGTCGGGCGGGGTGGATAGGGAGGTGCGATCTTAGGCACTAAAAGGTGGGAGGTGCTGGAGGTGGGGCCCCGGGGGTCTGGGAGAGAAAGGCCGTTGTGGGGTGGCGCTCCCAAAACGGCGGGCGCTGGATTGGGCATCAGCAGGGGGAGGGCAGAAAAGCTAAGACTAGGCGGCAAGAGGCGCCTCTTCTTGGGCGGGGCAGAGGGGCGTCCTGGGGGCGGCCGGGGGCTGGAGCGAGTGGAGGGGGGCGGCGCCAGGGCGAGGCGCTCCGGGCCGCGGGCAGGTGGGGGGGCACGCGTCCGGGAGGGACGCCAAGGGCTGGGGAGGGGGCGCGCGCGCCCTGCGGTGCTCGGCGCCGCCTCGGTTCCCGGCGCGGGGTCGCGGCGGCGGTGGGAGGCGGAGGATGCGGGCTCCGGCGGCGGCGGCGCGGGCCAGGGAGGACGCGGGAGGATGAGGAGGAGGCCGGCGGTCCGGCCGCGCGGCGCCGGGAGGAGGCGCAGGCGGCGGGGGCGGCGGCGGGCGGCGGCGGGCGCGCGGGGTGCGGGCCGGCTCGGGCGCGGAGGATGAAGTGGAGCGTCCGCGGGGCCTGCGCCGCGCTTTCCTCCTGCCTGCTGCTCGCCTGCGCACTCAGCGCCGCCGCCGTCGGCCTTAAGTGCTTCTCGCTGGGCTCGGAGCTGCGCGGGGAGCCGTTCCGACTGGGGGCCGCAGCCGGCGCCTTCTACTCGGGGCTGCTGCTGGCTGCCGGCCTTTCACTGCTCGGCGCCGCCCTGCTCTGCTGCGGGCCCCGGGACGCGCCCCTCGCCGCCCCGGGACCGGCGCCAGGCCCGGGGATAGGGGTTCCCGCGGCTCCCGAGGGCGCTCCGGAGGCTGCCCCCGGCGAGGCGGGGGCGGCGGCCGGGCCCCCGGGGCCGGTGAACAGCCAGAACCTGCTGCTGCTGGGCGTGCTTGTCTTCATGCTCGGGGTCCTGAGCGCCTTCGCGGGCGCAGTGATCGACGGCGACACGGTGTCCCTGGTGGAACGCAAGTACTCCCATTACTGCCTGCCCCCGCGCTCGCCGGCCGCAGCCCCCAGCCCCGCAGCCGCGGCCCCGGGTCCGGCCCCAGGGGCGCCGCGCTCCCGCAGCACCCTGGACAGCGCCACGTCCGCCAAGTGCCGCCAGCTGAAGGACTACCAGCGCGGCCTGGTGCTCTCTACCATCTTCAACTCGCTCGAGTGTCTGCTGGGCCTGCTCAGCCTTCTGCTGGTCAAGAACTACAAGTCGTCGCAGGCCCGGAGGGGTCGGCGCGGCCGGCGGAGGGCAGGTCGGGCCCTGGCGCGGCCCCGTGGCATCCCTGGGCTCCGTGCGCAGCCGCCATCCTCCCGCGCGCGGCGGGGACGACGGGGTCGGCGGGGACGACGGCTGCAGCAGCGGCCGAGTGAGGCCTCCATCCTGTCCCCTGAGGAGTCCGACTTTGCCGCCCCTGGGGACTGCGCGGGCTTCGCGGCTCACCACGCAGTGTCCTACATTAACGTGGGCGTCTTCCACGCATTCGACGAGGCGGGCGTGGAGGTGTGCTGCGGCGGACACCCGTCGGTGGAGCTGCCCGGGTACGCGCCCTCGGATCCCGACCTCAACGCCTCCTACCCGTACTGTTGCCGACCGCCCTTGGAGGCGGCGCGCCCCTGGGAGCCGAGGCGGGCCTGCTGAACCCCAGGCTGGGTCCCAGCGCTCGCGCCTCCCGCAAGAGCCCAGGGGAGGGTCCCAAGCCAGGCCTCGAGGGCGTAACAGCTCCGTGACCACTGGACGGTCCTCTGATGTTATCGTTTCTGTGTCCAGGACGTTTGTCTTCTCTGTGTCGTTCGTATCCGGATTCCATTTAAAGTTTACAATAAATGTTTTGGGTCGGCTCGCCGACTGCACTTCTCTTTGGCATCGGTTCCCTGGGCGGCGCTGAGGTCCCAGGTCGAGGGGCAAGAACAGAGCGCGCAGCGAGCGTGATTTCCTGCGAGGACCTAGGCTGAGCGACAGACAAAAGCCAAGGTCCTGTAGGAACTCAAGGAGGAGTGCCGTCCCGCAGCAACACTGCGACCCCACGTGCCTGCTTCAGCCGACACTTTCTTACTGTAAAGCTCTCCATAAACAGTGACTATGTTTGGTATATTTATTGCAATTTGAAGTTGGTGAGTTCCTTTATTAAATTAATTGCTATGTTATTGGAGAATGTTCATCAACTTGGAATTAGAGGGTGTCTACACGTAAATGAGCATGGGGAGGAAGGGCAGAATTGGGTTGGATTTGTTAAGTTTGAACCTGTGTTCTGCCAGCTGGTCCTCTCTGTCCGCCCTGTCTCTGAGCTAACTCGCTGAGTGTGCAGACACTGACACCAGACCCTTTCATTTCTGTTTTTGGAAACTGGCTGTGTGGTTTCTACTGCAAAGCAGTAGAATTTATTTTTGGTTAATACATATGAACAATCTAATCCTATTTTGGAGAATCACAGTCATAGTTTTTCTGCAAAGATAATTTTCCTGTAAACTCATTACTCTGGTAATTTTGAATATTATAGCATTTCATCTAAAATATACCCCTTAAATAGCCTTAATGAATGTGAAGGTCATACTTTTAAACAACTAGGATGTGTGTGTGTGTGTGTGTGTGTGTGTGTGCGTGCATGTTTGCACACTGTGGAATGAGCTTCATATGATGGCGGAATGTGTGTCCATCCTTCTGGGGGGCTGGTTCCTAGTCTTGGAAAAAGGTTATCCGACTTCCTTGTGCCTGGAATCCTAGGGCCGAGCCAGGGAGTCGACAGATCAGCTGGGAGCAGAGTCCCACCCTGATCCCCAAAGGTGTGTGTCCTCTGCAGATGGGAGTGGAGGACAGTGTACTCTGCTGTGTGGGCACCAGCACAAAGCACTTGGGGTGAGGGGAGTCAGGGAGATTGTGTAATATCTTCATGGTGTTCAGTAGTCCACTCTGTGAAAAAGTTGGAATTTAAGGATGGTGTGCAGTTACTTGGTGCAGGCTCTGGGGTCGAACCTCTCCTCAGTCCTCAGGTGCCCTGCCCAGAGCTCCCCTGAACTCCTGGTGACCCAGCCCCCTGTCCCATCTGGGAGCTTGGTGGGCTGCCCTGACCTGTTCCCACTCAGTGGGCTTATTATGGAGTGCAAGCCTGTCCCACTAATGCTCAGACAGTTCCTGTGAGACGTGGGGTTCTTCTCAAGAGGTAACAAGTCCAGCGCTCACCTTGCTGTATTGAAGCTGCCCCAGGAATATAAATGACTTATGGCCATCTTACTGGGGTCCTACCTACAGGGCACTGCCCGTATCAGGCTTTTGCTGTCTTGGGGGCAGTGGGAGCAAGAGGGTTCAGTCTGACTTGCTGGTCCTACTACTGGTCTATTAGGTCCCTCCTGCCCCAGGATAAGCAGCCTTCTGACCATTGGCCTAAGCAGAAATGTCACAAGTGCAGCACAAAGTGACCTAAACCACCTCATATCTACTTAATTCAAATCCACAGGGCAGGTATTTTCCTCTGGGAACGGAGGCTTCCTGAGGCAGCCAGGCCCCTCCACCTGCTGGGTGAGCACTGGGTGTTCCTGGGCAAACCAGTGGATGTGAAATCAGCCCCCACCCTTTGTTTTCTGAGCTGTTTCGTTTTACATACTTTATGCAGCTCAAAATGTCAAATGCCTTATGGATCTTTTAAGTTTGCTCTCAGTTCGGTCTCTAAGGCTTCAGGCTTTCCTTGGGGTAAAACAGAAGGCCAAGGGTAGGGAAGGCAGGGCCTGCAGCCAGGGGATGACACAGAAGGGAATCAGGTGTGTCCTGGGATAGCAGGGGAACCTGGAGTGCAGGAGGGAGGGGATTTCCCCAGCCTCAGGTGAGCTAACCTCTTCCCAACCACCAGCACACCAGGTGGCGGTTTAAGACTGAGCTTCCCAATTCCAGATGCAGTAAGTTTCACTTTTACAGAGTTGGATAGGAGATGTGAAGTATCGAGGTTTCATTTTTAGGGTTAACTAGAGAAAACAGAATCCCACTCTCTGTAAACTCAGATTGTCACAAAGATGAGCTCTCAGGGAAGGAGTGGAGGGTATGGAAGCCACTTGTCTCCTGATTAGATTAACTTTCTGTGCCCCTCCACACTCGACTCCTGGCCATAGGTTTTGCACATGTTCATTCTGCTTTTCTGGAATGTTCAGTTAGCCACTCAGAACTGAATTGGGCTACCTAGAAAATAAGGCCAGCTTTTGACCTTTCTTCTATTGAGTCTTATTCTGCTTCCTGCCAGGAGTTTATTAGGATGATGAGATGCCAAAATTAGACAAACACATTCTAGCATCTTTTAGGAGGCTGAAGGTGGAGGTTGTGAGTTATTATTTTATGGTAAAGATGTGATTTGGTTCAGCAGGAGTTCACTGTGAATATGGCTGGGGTTTAGTTTAAAGGGATTCTTCATGATGCTGTGTACCAAGTTGGGCAGTGAAGTCGCCTGACAAGTTGTGTTTTCTTAGGCTCAACAAACCTTCAGATATCTGGGTTTTCATGCCCTTCCATGGTCAGAGGGGGCAGGCAGGTGGGTTTTTATTCCCTGGGTGCCTTTAACCTGAGCCACAAAACTGAGCTTTTGACTGAAAATTCAATTAAACAATCATTTAATTTGAAAAATTAGTCAGATGGTTGATTGTTGTGAATTTCAAAGACTTACGACTGAGGCTGGACCCCTGGCCAGGACTTCGATGCAGTGCAGAGCAACTGCGAGCAAACACGCATACACATGCACGCGTGTGCCTACCACCACCAGCACATGTGCTCGTGCACATCCTCGTGTGCAGCACAGATGCACACAAAGACACATGCACATAGACACACAGGCACACAGAATGAGTACATGTGTGTGCACACACATGGTCTTCTGGGTAGTGTCTGAGAGCCAGGCCAGCAGCTCTGCCAGGGGAACCCAAGTGGAACCCACTCAGGGCATGTAAGCTGACCTTGCTGCTCTCTTGCTGTGGCATCACATGCAGGATGAGCCTAAGGGGAGCCATTCCAGGGCCCCAGCAGTTGTTGAGCTACTGGCCATATCTGGAGGGGCAGGCAGGTGGGGCTGGGCAGGGAGGGTGGGAGGTGGGGGCAGGCAGGTGGAAAACTCCCATCTGTGTCAGTACAGCTCAGTGATTCATGGCAGCAGGTATGTTGGGGTCCAGGTAAGAAGAAGGCTGCCAGGCTGCATCCCAGACTCTGTGCAGGTGTGCCACTGGGACATTGCTAGGACTCTGGTGCTGACCCACTCTGCACCTACTTCCATCCTCCAAGGGCCTGGCACCTATGCGAGTGGGCAAAGGTGACGGTCCTGCAGTGCCCTCCAGGTCATGATCACTGAGATAGGAAAGTAGGGAATGGTAGAGACCTGAGGAAGTGAGCTCTGCCGCTGAGCAGGCATCAACCACGTGTAGACCTGTGTCCCTTCCTCTTGTCTGAGATAGACACAGCAACCTGATGTGAACAGGTTTAATTTCCTGTTGACTCAATGACTTGGCCTAATTTGCTGACTTGTAGTACTGTAACCAACAGAAAAAAACACACCAACAAAATGGAAAACAAAATTTAAATTAGCAAAATAGAGCACACCAATCTTGTGCCTCTGCTCGAACCCTCCTGAGCAGTCCTCGGGTGACAGGAGGAGCCTGGTGGTCCTGCAGCAGACTTGCTCCTGACAGTGGTCTGTGAGCCTCTGCCTTTTGAGGCACTGGAGGAGCCCTCTTACATGCAGCTTCCCTGGAGAGGCCCTGATTGATGCACATTTCGCCTTTTTGTCAGCCTTTGGTCCTCAATGGAACGTCACTGTCAGACCAATAAAATGTTTTGAAAACATAGTATACTTCACAAGATTCGTGCTTTTCTGGCTACTGTCCTGTTTGTGACTGACTGTGTGGCAGAAAGTGGCCAACTGCCCAGCGTGCTGAGGGCGGGATGTGGAAGGGGAGCAGGCTTCTTTGGGCCTTTTCTGGTTCTCCCTCAGTGGTGCTGGGCACCTGGTTGCCCTGCCCTGGACCACTGGCAGCTGTCCTCTCACCCTCCAGGCCTTGCAGCACCTGCTGACTGCCATGGAGCAGGCTTTGCCTTTCCCTTTGATGTGATGCTAATTCCCTGCTGMTCTCACTTATTGTCACTTGCCAGGTCACTTGATGCAACATTATCTGAAACATATCAAGTCATGTGACCTTACTCAGAAGCATTCAAGAAGGAGAGGAACCAACCTTCCAGCTTTTATGCAAATGATCTAGGAATGGGGAGGAGCCAACAAAGGCTACCCTGTGGTAGGAAGAGGTGGGAGGCAGGAGTTGGAATGCAGGTGCTGGGATGCAGGAGGTAGGAGGCAGAGGGTGGGATGCAGGAGGTGGGATGTAAGAGGTGGGAGGCAGGAGGTAGGATGCAGGAGGTGGGATGTAAGAGGTGGGAGGCAGGAGGTGGAGACAGAAAGTAGGAAGCAGGAGGTGGGATGTAAGAGGTGGGAGGCAGGAGGTGGAGGCAGGAGGTGGGATGCAGGTGGTGGGATACAGGAGGTGGGGGCAGGAGGTAGGAAGTAGGAGGTGGGAGGCAGGTGGTGGGATACAGGTGGTGGGAGGCAGAAGGTGGGATGCAGGAGGTGGAGGCAGGATGTAGGAAGCAGGAGGTAGGAGGCAGGAGGTAGGATGCAAGTG